ATACAATATATATAAATTTTTAAAATAATCGTACAACATCATAAAAAATTATTTTATACACACACATACACATAAAAATTTTATTTATATACATATATATATTTAATATGTATCTATTTCTCTCTAAAAAGATATCTTCGTGATTGAGATTTTTTTAGAGTCTGGAGATTGTGAATCGTTTAGGATCTTTTCTACAAATTTCTGTTGTTAAGTCAATGTCTTTGGTATTCATAAGCAATACGAATAATAAAGCGAACTACACTTTGCCTATGAATATCAAACGAGGGCCGAGGAAAATCAATTCCCGATTGCGTTAACAATATTCGCGACGATCGACGGCATCGGCGGGGAGAGCACTCTCGTTCTCGCGATATTATAATATTTAGCGGGTAACGACTCGAGATAGGCGAAAAGAGCGACGGCGAGGAGCAACACGCGTGCCAGGTACACCCGAGAACCGCGCATTATCACCATATACTCCGCTTATGCCATGCGAAAGATCGGCGACGATGCGAAAGAAGACAGCCCGTGCCAACCCGACAATCATGGCAACAATAGCCAAGAGTGCAACACGTGCCAAATTAAAGGCTTCGCACGGGAAAAAAGAAAAAAAAGAAAAGAACTACGGGTCGCCGTACCTCGCCTCATATCGATGGGCGGAAAGATGCGGTCGACCATGGGAAAGCCGCGAAAAAAAAAAGGAAGAAAACAGCTGACATGTCGTCGAAAACGGACGTGGACGTTTAGCGGCAGATGTGACCCAACGTTTTTTTCTTACGTCATAAAAAACATAGATCTAAAAATGCCTTCGGTAAATGGTTTCACGAAGGGAAAATTATTATCAAAAGATTTAATATCTAAAAATTTAACCTGTGATTTATACGCTCGTAAATACACACACACTTGTTACAGATTTTAAATGGATCATGTTTGTTTAGGATAAGCGGCGCAACGGGATGCATTCTAGGACAGATTATAGAAGCGCGGCTGTACTTCCGTTGCTTTTAAAGGTTTCGTCTGACCGCATTTGGTGCGCTTTTTCTCAAGGCTCGTATTTACGAGTGATATAACGTCCTCATTTCGCTCCTCGTTCGCTAAGCCGATTCAATGACACGTCCATGACACGCTCGTCGGTGGTTTCCTTCGTTATGCAAAGCTTGGCTGATGCTGGCGTGTCGTTAAAATTGAGATTTGTAACGCATATGAATAAAGAGATGGAAATGAAGAGGCGGCCTTGCGTCAGCGAAATTCATCTACTTTAACGAACGTCCATCTACTCGCTTTTATAGGATAAACTAGTTTCTTCTATTTCCATATATTGGAATAAAATTTTTTTTCTTTGAAAAAAAAAAAAATCTGTTTTTCAGAACGATTATAAAATATGATGTGTATTCGTACATGGAAAGATAACACGGGAGGCAAATAAATTAAATCAAGAGAAACACTTGATTTTTGTAGAAACCGAGGATCACGCCTTCCTTTGATTTATCGAGATCACGAGTATAATCCGCTTTAACCATAACTTCTCTAATCGACATAAATTGAGTAAGATGAAACCATAATTTCACGGGGTAAAATCGAAAGAGAATTTTCTGAAAGATGTTCATTCTCTGATCTCGCTCGTCCCCGTCACTCACGTCATCCCGGGCAAAAATAAAGCAGTCCTGCCAAACCGGCGCTCCTACTCTAATTAATGCCGCGGTAATTGCTTCATAAAGTCCCAAGAGGCGGCATAATCGCACCATAGCGAAACGTGCTTCGAGTTTCTTCGATTACCAGGGGAACGGGTGAGAGGCAAGGTCGTATAGGAACCGAGAGAGTGGAAAAAAAATCAATGATCGACGATTAAAGTAGAATCGAGTAGAATTGATTACCATTATCATCTTGCCTCGCTCGTAACCTTTTTCGTGAGGATGCTCGCGAGTCATAAAGAATCGATTCCTTCGAAGGGCGCAAGTCTCGAGGACTCGAGATTCTCGTTCCCTCGAATAAATTCTCCTGCAATCTCTCCTATATTTCCTCTATGAAGAGATTTCCCTGAGATTTTTTTTTATCATAAATTTCTGACGAAGGAGATATAAGCTCTTTCCCCAGATTTTTTATTCTCGGAGATGTAACTGTTTCGCGTAGATCTTTAAGAGACAGTTCTTACAAATCCTTATAGAAATCTTATCGAAAATGCATTCGACAAAAGTATGGGCGCATTTTTCCGCTTTTCCCGCGATCGAGGAGAGGGTCGCCGACGTTAAACGGCGGGAATCTTTTGTACGGCCCTGTATATGGGAGAATAATGGCCGAACCGTGTCTCAATCGTGCTTTATGGGATGTAATTGCGGTCTGACGAGGGGGGACCGGCGGCCACGCCGATGTTTAAGCTCGGCCTGGCCAGCGCCCGCGCTCGCATACGAGCAAGGCGGATAGAAGCGTTACGGTTTTAACCTTCGCAACGAAGCACGAAACGAGTTTTCGTCTTCGCTCGCCGCCGCGCAGCATCCACGTGCAGCCGATCGTCATTGTCTCCTCCGCATCGATTCCTTACGAATTTTTGCCCCCCGCGATATTCTTAATCTCTCGCATTCGAAATCAAACGAGTTTGCGGAAAGCTTTAATCACGAAAGTTGCGGGAAAGTAAGATAAAACTGGACGATCGAGACATCCGTCTGTTTCAGTAAAAAGTATCTTAATGCATTGCCAAGAAGAATTTAATATACTTTAAGGCATTCTTTCTTCGCCCTTCTTTTTTCCAATTCTCGCAAAATTAAGCCGTGATTCACTCGGCGATAAAAATGTCTGGTAAATTGATCCATCTACTGAATTTCACCACACTTTCCGCTAATCTCTGATTCGTGCGACGCGACGATAACAAGACGACTTACGATCGCGCACATATGACGCAAAAAAGCGGTAGGAGGCGAAGGTAGACACAGAGGGACAGTGGACAAGAGAGGGTGGATGACCGACACAAAGGCGATGTGGAATCAACCGTCGTACCGGACGCAGCATCGGCGTTAAAGAGGAGATACGACCCATAAAATTTCGATCTACGCGCCGGAGAGAGAAAGAGAAAAGAGAGAAAGGCGGGGCCGCCGTAGCGGAATACGAAATCAAATTGCCGGGACGCATCGAAAAAAGCAGTCATCGAGAGTTTAACGGCGGTTCTTTGGACTCGCGTCTGTTGGCTTACGTCGTCTGTACGCGCCACAAAAGGGTTTCAAGGAAAAGTTCGAATGCGAACTTTGAGCCATCACGTTCTGATTAAGAAAGATCGACGTAAGATCGATCAAATATTCCTAAACTAGCGATAATCTTATCAATCGTAAGTATCATTGAAATTTATCGACTCATCATAAATATGCCATAGTGTTATGTATAATATTTCGATATAAATTATCTGATAAAATTATAGTAACATGGATTAATATAATTATCGTAGGCGATCTTGGATCTATACTAAAGGAAAAGTTTTATATAATCATTAAGTTATATAACCGTTGATCATTAAGATCGCCGATCGAACTGACAACGCGCGATAAGGTCCACTTAACGTAAAACGACATTACGATACCACAATGCGAGAATTTTCTGCGTAGCGCAAATATTTGTCTAGAAGTTTATTCAAACGTTTCTTCTCCTCCGTCCATCAAGGTTGACTAACATTATTATCGTAGACCGTATCAAAATTCCGCGATATCGAATAAGTCACATGGACTTCATAATTGAACAAAGGTTAATGACTAATCTCGATAAGATAAACGATTTACCGCCCCATCTCCTTTCCTTTCCCCTCTTGCAAAAATATAACGAGCGACTTCTTAACGATTAGCGACGTAACGCATTATCCGGGCTCTTAATTGAATATCTCGGTCGATTGTTTCTACCTCGAAAACGCATTAACGTACACACTTTTACGATCCATTTTATAAAGGCACATTTATAGAGTGTTCTTTAAGTTCCTAACCGAAAATTGAATAGTGTGCGCGCGGATAACTTTGCATGCTGCAATTTATAAATGAATTATTCTGTAACTTTTAATTCTTTTAATCTGAGCGATGAGAAGTTTTAAAGCACTGTTAAAAAATATTAACAAAATTGCAAAAAAGTTTATTCGTGTTTGAATTTTCAAAATACATATTTAATAGCTTGAAACTTTGATTTGAAAAAGTCAAATAAACGAAATATTTCATTCTACTTGAGAAACCAGTAAGAACTGTGCGAATGATGTATAAAGAGCTTTCGATACATTCAATTTATTACCGGAAAATGAAGCAAGAAGACGAATAGACGAGCGATCCGCTTGACTGCGAGAGCGAGCGGAAGAGGCGGAAAAGGAAGATCTATTCTTCCGGGAAGATCGGAGTGCCGACAAGAAGGGTCCTTTAGGTCCTTTATTGATTCTTAAGTTCGTTGCTTTTTCTTTCACGTCAAACTGGTTATTAGAACTGGTTCCGGTTTCGTCATCGATTATTGGCTATTATTGGCGCTTAACGGGGATTATCCCCGTTC